CCTTATTGCAAAAAGAACTCTTATAAATGCATTAGAAAAATCTGAGCAGAAATTTGGTGACGGACCTGAGCAGGCAAGTCACACACACCAAAGAAACACATGTGGTTAATACGTACATTCTAAGATGTTGTGGGCGGGGATCCCGGGTGTCAGGCTGGCTGTGTTGCTAGCCTGGATGTGTTAGCAGAATGTTTTTGAGGTTCATCCATGTCGTAGCATATATCATATTTCATTCCTTTTAATAGCAGAATAATGTTCCATTGTCGGGGGGTGGCTGTATTTATGACACATTTGTTTATCCATTTATCTGTTGATGGACGTTTGCGTTTGTCTACCTTTTAACTATGAATATACTTACTTCCACATGTATTTGTTTGAGTACCTGTTTTTAATTCTTTTGTTTATATACCACTTTTTTGTTGTGTTAATAGTTGGTTTGTTCAAATCAGAATCTAAACTAGATTGACACGTTTTATTTGATTCTTAAACTCTTTTAATTCACAGGGTCCTTCCCCTTTTTCTTTCTTTTTTTTCTTTCAATTTATTTGTTGAAAAAAATGGGTTAATTTGTCCTCTAAAGCTTTCTGCATTCTGGATTTTGCTGATTGCCTCCCCATGGTGTTATTTAACGTTTTCCCTTACCTCTGTATTTCCTATAAGATATAATTAGATCTAAAGACTTGATTTTTTTTCCCTTTTCTCTTTCTTTTCTTTTCTTTTTGAAGACTCCTTCTGGAGTGGTATTGTGCATTTCCATCAGGAGGCATATAATGTCCAGTTATCTCTTTTTTGTGTGACATTATGGCCATCGATGTTCTTGCCTAGATCGATTATTTCATCAGGAGGGTTACTGCTTTTTTAAAAAATAGAGTATTTTTTAAAGTAGTTTTATATTTGCAGCAAAATTAAGCAGCAAGTACAGAGTTCTCATATACCCGCCTCCCCACCACACGCACACTCAAGCCTTCCCCATCATCATTATCCCATGTCATGGTGTTACATTTATTACAAATGATGAACCAACATTGACACATCAATATAACCCGAAGTCCGTAGTTTACGTTAGTGTTCATTCCTGGTGTTTTATGTTCTATGGGTTTTGACAAATGTATAATGATATGTATTTGCCACTGTATCATCATATTGAATAGTTTCACTGCCCCCAAAATCCTTCCCTCTCCCCCCATCCCTAGAAATTAATGATCTTTTTACTGTTTCCATAGTTTTGCCTTTTCCAGAATGTCATATAGTTAGATTCATATAGTATGTAAATTTTTAAGATTGGCTTTTTTTTCACTTAGTAATACATTAAACTTCCTCCATGACTTTTTGTGGCTTGATTGGTCATTTTATTTTAGTGCTGAATAAAATTCCATTGTGTGAATGCACCATGGTTTATTTATGGTTATTACTTTTTAAAAACTTTTTTAAGGGCCGGCCAGGTGGTGCACTGCTACAGTGCGCCGCTTGGGAAGCGCGGTGGCGCTCCCGCCGAGGGTTCGGATCCCACGTACAGACCGGTTCCCGCTCACTGGCTGAGCGAGGTGTGGGAACAACACCGAGGGTTGCGATTCCGTTGCCGGTCCCGGTCCAGTACAGGCGCGACACTGAGGATTGCGATCCGTTGCTGGACACAAAAAAAGACAAAAAGGAAAAAAAAAAAAAACTTTTTAAAAAAGTCAATATATAATGTATATAACAGTAAAGTGCATTAAACTTGAGTATCTGAATACACAGCTATAAAACTACCACTGGATCAAGATATAGAGCATTTTATCACCCCAGAATATTCTATTATTAATTCAGTCAGTACCCCTGTTCCATCAAAGGTAACCGGTATTCTCACATCTGTCACCATAGATTAGTTTAGCTGTTCTTGATATTTGTACTTTTTGGTGTTCTGGCTTCTTTTGCTCAACATTATACCTGTGAAATTCATCCATGTCAATGTGTGTGTATCAGCAGTTGGTTCTTTTTTTATTACTGAGCAGTATTTCATTGTGAATATACCTCAGTATTCATTCAGTTATTGATGTACCTGTGGTTTATTTTCAGTTTAGGGAATAAAGCTGCTGTAAATGCTCATATACTTATATTTTAGTGGATATAATTTCTTATTTCTCTTGGGTATACACCTAGGTATAGAATTGCTGGCCATAGGTTGGCAAACATTTACTTTAGAAGATGTCACCAAAGAGTTTTCCAAAGTGAATGTACCAGGTTGCATTCCTACCAGCAGTATGTGAGGATTCCAATTGCTGTACCTCCTTGTCAAAACTTGGCATTGTTATTCTTTTTAATTTTAGCCATTTTTACTAAGTTAATGTTGCAAAGAATGCTAATCTGAATTTTCCTCATTGGCTTAACAGATGTGTGTACACAAAACATACCATTTCCACAGTTTGAGTCTAGCTCGATCAGAACTTATCTTTTGACATCTAATAGAGATCCCTGAGTAGAAAAATAAACAGGGTTTTCTCACTGTAAAATGCCCTGAAGAGTCTACCAAGTTAGGAGAAGATGAATGTAGGTTATAAAATAAGAGAAAGGCAACCCAAGACAATTGTGGAAGTTGCCCAGAAAATTGTGGACAAAGCAAATATCAAAGTTAATTCTAACCCAGCCCTTCTCCAGGGTTCTTAGAATACAGTTATTGCAATTAGCATACGACAGTGTTCTAAATGTGTAGAATTAATCTAGAGTTTGAGATGAGCAGTTTTTTTCTTTCTTCTCTTCCTCCTTCCTCTCCCCCTCATATTCTTCCCTACCTCCCACTCCCCCATCTTCTCCTTTTTTTGAGGGGGAGGGAGAAGACAGGAGAGGGATAGGGGACCAAAGGTTGGCAAGGTAAAGTCTCTACAGTCAAAGAGAAAGGAAGATGATTTCATGTGTCTCTGTCTTAGAAAAATTTTAACAGGGTTTAAATCCAAACTCTACCACTTATTTGACTGGAAATTTTCTTAATATCTTTGAGTCTCTGATTCATCACCTATAAAAAAGAGTTAATGTTTGCAGAGCTGATAGCCTCTATGTTGTATAGAGGCTTTACTATAGTGATTAAAAACACAGACTCTGGAGCCAAACTGCCTGAGTTCAAAATCTACCTCCATCTTTTGCCACCTATTTGACTTGGGCCTCAATTTCCTATCTGTAAAATGTAGTGCAATCTAATACCTATCTCATTGGATTTGGGGGAAATTGAATGGATTGCTATGAGTAAAGTGCTTGGAATATTTCTTGGCACATAGAAGTGCTATGTAAATATCACATATTATGAAGATTGAAGCTAATTTAAGTAAAGTGGCGTGCAGTCAGCCCTCAGTGGTGGTAGCAGTGCTATTAGTCATGGTAAGGGTCTATGCTGTGCCTGTCCTTTAATATTCTTTAGCTGACAGTACCAAACAATGATATCATTACTTATACCTATAAAAAGGCAATAATTAAAGATAAAGTCATTAAAGATTTTACGTACATTCTATGAAAGACACTTAACATTTATGTCATTCTTTGCCACTCTATACAAATGTCTTTGTCTTTTTCTATAGCAATGTAGTGAGCCGTATATGTATGTTCCTGTTTAGTCCTACATCGTGCAGCACACATTTGTCAGTTTA